AGGTGGGTCCCTGAGAGGGACTGTGGTCGCTTCGTTCTATAAGCTGGAAGCTCGACGTCTACAAGCTGAAAGCTCTACATCCTAGAAGGAATCAACACGTGGCCGGGACGCGAGTGAGGGTCCGACCCTTCGTAGCTGTAACTTCTCCGTACAGTGTTGCCTTTAAAGAATAACGTCTGCAACTCAGTTGGACTCACGACAAACGCACCAAAAAAAACATCCAATTAAAAGAGAATTTTCACGAAGACCTCATTTCAGGTCAATCGACATGCGACAAACATTCTTTGCGGGATATGTGCCCCTCGTGTGGATAGTCTCAAGTTTTATTTTGTTTAACTAAGTGAGAACTCATGAGGCCAGGATAGTCAAATTTACAAGAGTGATCGGGGTCTTAGTCTGTCAGTGGGGCGGAGAGGGGGGTGTGGCGATGATTGCAATGTATAATCCAAATTGGGCAAATGTGCGGGGAATTTTTGAACTTGTTAAATTTGGACTCTCACCCCTCGAATAAGAGGGCTATTGAAGTAACCTCAAGTAATTGTTCAACGTCATATTCCAAGCTGTTCTCTCACATAGTGGGGTGCACTACTTGCTGCATAATTATACGCGGAAATGTCTTCGCCTCATGACAGGATTATGAGAGCACAAGTGGAATGTAGTTGGGGTGGTGTCCAGGGAAACAAATAAATATACAGGATTCACGATGGATAGTGATGTAGATATCACTACACCTCACCATTCCCCCTTTCAGCTAAATCCCAGATCGCCTCTTGCAGTTTTAGAGTCGTGTGAGGTCTCACATTGTCACAGTCGATACCTGACATGAAATATCCACACATTTGGCCTCATTCAGCATCTGGATTCAGTTCTTCCTCTAGATGTGGATGTGCTCTCCATTGCACAGCTCAGTTACCCGCCATCCTCCATTCTGCACATGTTCCCTACGTATTTCAACCCCATTCATGAATATCTACATGCTCTTCTGATATAGTATTTTTCTAATTTCCAAGTTGCTTACTCTATATTACAATGGAACTCCCTAGCAGCCTCTGCATACACTTCCACTGAAAAAGACCACAGAATGTATGTCTGGTTGCTTTGTTTTTGTGCAGTACTCCAACCATGACACCAAATAATAAGACATGAAGTCTGAATTACAGATTACAGTATTTCTCCCTCGAACACATATCTATTAAACACTACATCCTTATTTTATTTTATTATTATTTTCACCTACGTGACTTTACCGAAAGAACCAAAGAGTATGGATCCTTCAAACTGCTTGAAAAATAGGAATGGAATGATTTACACTCCACGTGGTTTAAAGAAAAGTTACAATTCAATGTCACGGTTTGATGAAATAATTATGTGTTAATTCTGTTAAGGTTTTCTGGTGATATAATTAAGAGTAGTTATCAGTGCAAGTGACAAAACTTATTTTGTAAATTAATATAATGCAGCAGATCCAAATAGCATGTGTTACTACCAAACACACCAAACAAGAAGGTGCAATGGAAAATAGATACTACAAACACATCATACGAGAGTTACGACGGATTGACTTGCACGTGAGATCAGAGCAGGTGTGACAATTATAAACACAGGATACCTTGGTCAATATATTGAATTAAAACAATGTACATCGCAACAAGCTATGCATGGGATTATAACACCAATAAACGACTCCATATATGCCCTACAGTTGAATAATGTTTGTCGCAATATGATGTGGAGATAATACACCGGACAAAGACTGCCACTACAGTGTTCTGGTAGAAAATAAGTCGGATTAAAAGCAAGACATGTAAAATAACAGCAGATGACAACATCCAGATCACTCAGTATCTTGGTATGCACAACGGATTAAATTCGTAACAGGCTATGAATTAGTAATACACAAGAGAAAGAGGCTTATGTATTAACAACGTAACGACAAATACAAAGAAGAAACTACCATGCTCCACCGTACTAGGTGAGTTAAGTTGGATTAAAGTAACGTGGCACGAGCAGCAAATCCAAGTCAAGTGTTACAGGTGCGCACATATAGTGAACGTCGCGATGAGTTACGCGTTGGGCAATTACGCAAGAGAGTAAACCCACGTGCAGGAGTAACACGGGTTGCGTAAGAAAGACGTGGTCTCCGGTAATAATGACAACTTTAGTCAATTTCTATTTAAAGCTTTCGTGACTGCAGGGATTCATCTTCTTGGTTCTTTCGGTAAAGTCACGTAGAATGGAAATAATAGAATAATAAAAATAAAGTCAAATCCCCAGAATATCCCAATTTTAATAAACACGACCCTTCTATTTTGTGTATTGATACGGATTGGGCACATTCTCACAGAGGGGAGAGCTCGATGATGTTTGTTCTGGACCGATGTCAGTAGAGAGGCCAAGAGGCAAAACAAAGAAAGATGCCGCTCGTCGCCTTGAAGGAAGGGAGAGAGCTACAGTGAAATGAAGACAAAAGCTAAAGATCGGACAGGCTGGAGGGAGTGTGAGCTAGAGACCTGCCACTGGGCAGAAGATTAAGGAATCACACAACCCACACTAGCCTTGTCCTCTAAAGTCTCGCGATGGAAAGGTGCGAGTCACTGATCGACGCTTGCACCCTGGAGGACTTGTCACTGCCCCCCCCTCCATCAAACCTGCGAGGAACTGCAATAAAACCCACCCTACCCCCACGCAGAGCAAATCGCAACTATCCTAAAAGGGAGGCCCGGAGAGAAAAGCTCAGCACAGGGGCTATTTATTGAGGGAGCGACCGGCAATTGCCCTCCCCCTCCCCCCCCCATTTACTTTCAGTTCTAGAAAATAACGTGCGGCATTCAGTGGCCTGGTGAATGTGAGAGCAAATGGCATAAAAAAACACAAATGACACCTGAATACCTACTTTCTATTTGAATGTGATCAAAGTAAACCAAAGATATTGCACGACGAACATATCAACCAATCAGAGCCAGCGACGTGATTGCCATGCCATTTCTATGTTTGTTGAACTTCTTTCGCACCGTACGTCGCCAACCGTGCTAATTGGAGGTGCGGGATGTAGCAGTAGAACCGTTAACATCGTGGATTTATAGATACGTCAAAAGAAAATACTATGGAATTCTGAATAACCTCGAAAGTAGATTAACGGGTAGGAATAACACATGAGTGATTTCTAATAATGTAAAGTATATGAACAAAACACATTTAACTAGATGAAAATAATTAAGAGATGGACACGTTCGAAGTGAAGCTTTTCAAATGTTCTAGATCTCGGAGAAAGCTGTATATGCAGTGGGACAGTAGGCAAGGTCCATGGCACAAACACTGGAACGTACTTAGAGCCTAGCTGAACAGAAGGATCTGGAAATGAACACGCTCCATAAGTTGCAAACAACACCCACTGAAACGTGCACAAAAAGCACTCGGCCTTGTGCATTACGCGAAATCCATCAACAGTTCCTGAAGAACAACACCGTGACCCTCTTGCCTTAGGTCACCATCGAATAAAATGTTCAGCAAATGGAACCACTGACAGACACCAGCTAGACAGAGAGATAACTGTAGACCTGTTTCCCTCCTCGTTCCAAAATGTTATGTGCAAGCGAGTTGGATACAAAAGTGTGACGCTGGGGGTTGTGTGAAAACATGTTACCCTGGGAGCTCCCCACACTTTACCCCACCACATGAAACTTGCCAGTCCACTAACTGTGAAGTACTCCACTTACACCACTGGATAGTGAAATGCCACTGAGGTGTCAGGCTGGCAGGATGTTAACTCCGTCGCCTGGTATGCAGGTCGTGGGTTCCATCCCGACCCTGGCCCCAAGGTTACGTGGATTTTTCTCCGTGTCCTCCGGCTTTACCGTTCACATTTATAAACACGCGTTTAGAGTATTTGTCTGCTATACATTTCCACGTGATGAGCCACTTCGTTGAGCTATCATTTGTGGTCAGGTCGCTTATGAAAAGGATCTATATCGCTCAGTGGGCCTTTCCTGTTAACATACATATACATAGCCAGAGGCTTGCCCATTGTTTCAACTGGCACGCTGGCAGATCGATCCGAACCAGTGACCTCCAGATTGCAAGTCCGCTGTGCAAGACATTACACCCTGGCAGCACCCTCTCTAACAGTATTTAAGGGGTTATTAAATGGAAACCTTATCCTTGATGGAGATGCGCATTGGTGACGATGAGGACAATGGACGAGATGTCGCACGAGATGCCGACTCTTTTTATCTCTCCCAGGGCGGCCGTGATAATATTCATTTCGCGCAGGCATTGCGTCGCTCGCCACGCCAGAATGCAGTTATTGCTTTTGAGAAGACAGCCGCTTGTAGTGCTCGTGGAGGAGGTCACACAACAAAGCAGAGGAGATAGATGGGGAAATACGAGAAAGTGGGAGATGGTGGGGTGGGGGAACAAAGATGCCCCTTGTAGCAGCGAAAGCACCGGGGGGATTTCCTGAAGGTGTGACCCCCATCCTCCTCGAGGACACGACGAAGCAAAGCGTTCACCGGCTGTGGCTGTGACACGGACACAGTTAATTTAGTGGGGCATTTGCGTTTTAGTCTGAGTCGAAGTCGACGACAACCGATGTAGTTGTAGTCGAGACTTGGCCCGTGGTTAGTCTCGTCGACTAAAGTGGTCAAAACTTGAGTCCACTCTGAGTTCATAAATGTTGGTTGTGAGGGGCATGCAAATTATTACCACAAATATTGAAGGGCTCTTTTTTTACCATATATGGGCAATTTACAAAATGTGTTCTGCCTGAGTGCACTGCAGTCTAAGTTATCTTCGTCTGCATCTTCATTCAGACTCATTCTCTTTATCTTGTTATAGTCGGTCATGCTTGAACGTTTGGTGGGTAGTCGAGTCATCGCTCTTGCTTGATGCTAAATGACTTTTGTCCACTCACAGTCGTTGATTAAAATTATAAACAAAAAAAACGTCACCGACGAATATCATATTAGCATGGTTGGCCGCGTACGACGCGAAACAATTTCAACATGCATACGCACATTTGCGTCACTAAGTTCATGAACGAAATGTACGCGGTGCTGTGCGCGAGCAGGGGAGCCACGGACAAGTTTGAGTTCGAGTCGGCGGACGTGGGGGACATCATGTCCCTCGTGCTGGGACACTGCCCCCGCAAGAAGTCGTCCAGCCGCAGCGAGGCCACGTGGCACGTGCAGCAGATCGTGCTGCTCATCCTCGAGACAGGAAACAAGTGAGACGTGGTGGCGGCCCTGCGCCGAGATCTCACTTTTCCTCCACCGTTTATTTTCTTCTTTTTGTCAAAGACTCTCTTGGCATTCTATGCTACTAGCAGCCCCCCCCCCCCCGTGCTCATCACCACGCTGGCTAAAGTATATTTGTTTCAAGTGTAAATGTCACGTCCTGTCATGTATGGGTATACGAATACGCAATCAAAAGGTTGCGAGTTCAATTTCCAAGTTGGGGGTCGACTCGAAAATTTAAAGATCACCACTCGATGGGAAATGAACAGTGGTTTTGCCTAAATATATAGACTGGTCCCTGTCATTGGATAGTGGAAATTATAGAACCGATTGAGGGTCACCAATGGAGATCAGCACCACCCAATGCTTGTTTGGGCATGGAAATTCTTTACATTTGGTATTTTCTCCCAGGTCACCAATGAAAGCTAGTTAGTCTTAATCAGGGCCGTAGATAGGTGGGGGTGAGAGCAGGTGGGGCAGTTTCCCCCCTCACTGAGAGGGCCTGAGAGGAGGACTCATCTGGTAATTTGTTCCAGGAATCCGCAAACTACCTACCTACCTAAATGTAGACTAACACAGGTCGAATGCTCTGCTTCTACAATCCCAACTTCACGCTAAAATAAGATGCTGTATTCGCGCCATTCTTATCGCACACAAGGCTATTACGCAAATGCTGTTTCACACACGGGTTTGGTCTGCGAATAGAGAGGGGTGACGTTGCTTTGTGGTTTTCCCCAATCGAGTAATTTGCAAGTAATTTTCCAACACGGGGCACGCTTTGGGACCGCGACACAAAGTGCACAGTGTCTTCATCTTATTTGAACGTCACGGAATCTTTTCACGTCCACCGTGAACCTCTGCGTGCAAGCGGCAAACGCGCCGCCACTCATCTCCCCCGCGCCGCTGCAGGTACATCTTCCCGTGCGACGCGCAGATCGAGCTGTCGTCGAATCGCGAAGAGAGCGGCCGCAGCTTCGAGTGCCGACGCAAGATCGAGAGCTTCGCGAGCCGCACCGGAGGCCTGGCTCCCGTCAAGTACGAGGTGCTGGTGGTGACGGGCGGCGAGAAGGGGTGCGGCACCGACGCCAACGTCTTCATCGTCGTGTTCGGCACGCGCGGCGACTCGGGACGCCGCGCGCTCAAGCACAAATACCGCAACCTGTTTGAGCGCGGCAAGACTTCGCGCTTCATGCTGGAAGCGCTCGACCTGGGGGAGCTCAACAAGGTAGGCACGCCAGGACGCCGACGCACACCCAGAGCCCTAGCACCAACCGCAGCCCCCGCCCCCGACATTTGAGACATATCATCAGTTTCGATTTAAAGCTTTCGTGACTGCAGGGATTCACCTTCTTGGTTCTTTCGGGAAAGTCACGTAGAAGGGAAGTAATAAAATAATCAAAATAAAACATAATAAAATAATTCTCACGACGTTTCGGCCACAACGCAAGCAGCCGTCCTCAGGTGATTGCAGGGATTCTTCACCTGAGGACGGCTGCTTGCGTTGTGGCCGAAACGTCGTGAGAATTATTTTATCACGTTTTATTTTTATTATTTTATTACTTCCCTTCTACGTGACTTTACCGAAAGAACCACGAAGACATATCATCAGGTCAATGTGCAGTCCTGCCATTGTTTGCACACGCAATTGCTGGTGGAAATGCCTCCAGTAGAGGGAGCTCTAGAGGGCCCCTGTATAGGACATTTGACCTACTGTTCCGCACTGACCAAACTTATTGGAAGAAGTGGGAGTAACCACGATTTACCACACCACATGCGATCTGACAATCGACGGTGGTGTACCCATTTATACTGCTGGAAGGACAGGCGGGATGGATTTTAGATACTTGCCAGTTGCAAGTGCTGTGCCGCGAGATTGAACAGGCGATCTCTGGACTGGCAATTCAGTGTGCTCACCATTGCACCACATGCACATCACGAAGTGCAAACAAAACGAAATGCTCACAAGCACGATAATTGAACTCATTGTTGTCTCCCTGCTCAAACAAGCAATGGGGCGGTGATCAACTCAAATTGTTGGTACCAAGTTAATGGTGGAATTTTCAGAATTGCATGATGGTTGGGATTTGGGGAACAATCTCTCCATAATTCTAGATTTGAAGCTTTCGTGACTGCAAGGATTCATACTCTTTTGGTTTTTTCCGGTAAAGTCACGTAGGTAAAAAATAAAATAAATGAAAACAACTCCATAGTTTGACCGCTGTTGACTTTCATAACGTGGTACATATTTTAGTGTTCCATAGTCATTGCAAGGATGATGGGCTCTAAGTCGTCCCCCGACGGGGATTTGAATTCGGCTAACTGCAGTGCCACCCAACCAGAGTAATGTATACTAGAGCCGACATAATCCTCAAATTCCAAGAATACAAAATCCCACCGAAGCCATTCCATAAAGAGGACGCGCATGAAGGATTGCTCGACGAAGCAAAAGGTGACGTATTAATCCATCAGATTCTTATTGTAATAGGGTGATGAACCCCGTTATGGTTAGGGTTGTTAGGTTACAGATCTGCCTCGGCACCAATTACATCTTTTGTTAGAATGAGAAAACTACAGTGTAGTCAAATAAAATGGCCATTTCAGGCTGGCATTCTTTTCATTTTCACATGTGATTTTCAAGTTTTAGTTAAAGTGATTAAAATTTGGGGCAGTGCCCCCCCCCCCGCCCATTGGCAGCCCTCGGCCAGTGTTGGAAATTCCACATTCTCCAGGGGACAATCAAGTTAATTTCCTACAAAGTGGTACTCATTATATTGACTTCAGAGACGATGGGCCGAGTAGCCCCCCAAACAGGATTTTAACTTGCGTCCTCCTCACTTGGAGCCGTAATGATTGCGTCACAGCGCCATGCCGCTGGACATTGTGAATAATAAATATATAATTTAGCCGCATACTCAAAATTGCATTCGTACTGATAATGAAAAGCTGTTCGTTTCACGAACGCAGACACTGAGACAATGTTTTTATTTATGAAAATCTGACAGTAGATTTGAAAGAAAAATATTTGACTAGGGGGCACCCCATTGAGATGAAAATAAATTACTTTTAGAGCGTCCATTCACCCCACGGCAATTTTTATGAATTTGATCAACTAAAATTGCGCAATTACGCTACCACAATTGTTATATCACAATAACTCAATATTTAGCATGTTAAAAAGTAGATGAGTGAGGCAAATGTAATAGTTGCAAAGATATGGTCAAAAGTATGCCTATCCAACATATCATTTTGAAATTGCGGCTCGCATTGCACACTGGGGCTATTGTATATGGTAAAGTGCTGAATCAACACTGGAGCCGATGGCATATTTATCTGTTCAAAGGTGAAATATTTTTGTAATGTTGACCGAGTTTGGATAAACTACTAATCATATGCTTTCAAGTTACTCCTCATTCATTGCGATTGTATGAACGGTCTAGGAGGAGTTCTCCGGACACACGTGTATGTAGGTTAGACCCTGATATTGCAGACGTTGGAAACCTATTGATCATCATCAGCTCAGCCCCGTTGTATGATTTTAAAACGAGACTATGGTACACAGACTGTTACAACAAATAAGCAGCACCAGGGCTATTAAGCAGAATAATGTGGACGAATGCCAATTTTTGGGAGGAATTTAAACCTCATTCTTTTAAACTGCATACGCTTTCGTATGACATATCATTCACTAAAATTGAAGTCGAGGAGTTTTCCGGACATACAGATTAGCTGCTTATCACACATATATGCTGTGTAGTAATATCTGGCTAGAAGGCATATTGCTTTGAATGACTTACATTCATAAGATTGCAAGTTTAAATCCCAGTTGAGCATAAATGCAGCCCATCATTTATTTTGGGTCAATAAATTAAGTACAGCTAGATGATTTATCAAGTCGTGTTGTTTGGCATGATGTCCGTTTATCTCCAAGTGATGGAACTGGAATTAAACGTCAAGCATCATCCCAAACAACACACAGTCCAACTCCAAAAACCCATTGTCAAGCTACACGGCACAACCGCAAAAACCAACGTGGCAGTATGTCAACACATCTCACTGGAAATACTGGTGCCCCTTATATGGGTTTGTGTTTTTTTTATCGACTGGCTCAGGGCTGCCACTGAGATGAGTGCCATTCCATTGCTTACCGAAAGAACCAAAGAGTAATTCCATTGCTTGTTCAAGCACTTTCAGAGACCCAAAAAAAGGCCCGTTGGGATTTTCAAAACACACTATACACAACGCACTATAAATGTATCATGAGACACATTTCCCATTTGCTGTGCTGCAGCGGAGTATGTGGTAAAAACCTATAAGTGTGAATTTTCCTAATTGCTGCGGGGCGGCAATATCCACAATACTGCACTCTGGAGGCATATTACTCGTGGTAAGCTCACGTTAAACACTCGTCCCTGCATACTATATCAATGGTGGAAAGCTCGCACTTGACCGAATATTTGGTCGTGCATCATGATCAAGATAAGTCAGGAAATGACCACATGGCATTTTCCTGCTTTCACAACAGCTCAGAGAAGATGGTAACATTTTTCTAGCACACATAAGCTGCTATTAGATTTGAAATCCACCGCTAAGTCACAGCAGACGCCTGAATAATTTCCAATATATCATCACTTAAACATTAGCGGCGTTAATTGCTTTTTCTTGTATAATACCAGGCAGAAATCGTGCCATAACCTTGTCCTTCATTTGGCTTACCGTTGATTTCGGATTAAACGACACATTGGGCAAAGTGGATTGAATTTTAAAATGTGTTTGACACAAAATAGAATGGAATCATGTTATGCATGCGAGTTATTTTACATTTTAAATTGGTCGTTGTGTGTATGGAGAATAAGTGCCACACCAATAGATCCTGTAAGCAGTGTCTTAACCAGAATGCATTCATACATACCAATGCTTACCCAATCCTACTTGCACACAAAGCACATTACTCTTGTCCAATGACCATTTGCCATGCACTTGCTCAGGTGTGCTTTTTATAGAGCACACTATTCCCGATGGTAGTAATGACAACCAGTGCAGACGTGCACTTTGTATGTGAAAACACTGGTACAGTAACCCAAAGCTCATATTTCATACGGACACGTTTAAACTTCCACCTGTTCAATCCCATGCCGACATCATATTTAGACAAGCCATCAATAATTACTTGAAGTAGGCAGTATATGTTGCAAGGCATACGACGATGGGCCTATTAGCAAATCATCCAGAATGCATCCCATCTCAGCAGCTTTGCAGGGATGAGCTTGGAAAGTGCTTAGATGGGCAACCACGATCATGCACGTCAGGCTGTTGTATACCGCTGTGGTTTTACGTGGTGGGCTGCAGACGAGTCCAGAACACCCACTGTACGGTACTTTCTATGCTTCCACGTGTGCTCACAGCCTTCACAAACCCACACCGACCTCCCCCATGTCCTACAAGGCATATGGGCGTGGGGGGCCTCGTTCAGAAGTGTTACCTGTACATTTTTTGATGCAGTTTCAATTAAAATCGATTAGTCACACCATTGTGCATGCAGGAATCGATTATTTGTATTCACATTGTATGTAATGGTTTATGCAACCCTGCAGTCACTAGCCCTACACGCGTCACAATGTAAAAGAAATAGAATGGCAACCCCAAATCATCGCATCCTGACAGCCTAATCACGATATGCCTATGATATTGTATGCAATGTAAAAATAGCACACGCCTGTTTAACTTGTAAACATAAAGTATTGCGTTTGATGGGTCGGGCCAGACAGCACCGTTCGAATGTACGAAGAGCTTGAGTCACTCTTGTTTTCCATCACCCTTGCCGCCCTAGGTACGAATCGAGCATGACAACAGCGGATTGAGCGCAGGGTGGCTGTTAGACCGAATCGAGATCATCAACACATCCACACTCATCCGCACCATCTTCTTCTGCAACAAATGGCTCGACCGTAAGAGAGGAGACCGTCAGACGTGCCGGGAGCTCTTCCCCATCTACTGAGCAAGCAAGATGGTCCTTGTGATATGGCTCAACTACACATTGCGTAGGCCCTATATTCAACACAATGTGGGTTAACGGTTATTAAATGGTAGTCTGCCTTTGTATCCTGGGTTGTGATGGCACCGGCCTTTGAGAAGGCATGTAACAATACACAGGCAGATAGAAATGTATTCATATACAGATAATGCAACGAATGCGTGCGAGAAAGTATTTTTTGCATTGCATGAAAACTACAACACAAGAAGATATGCCAATGTAACATGTAAGCTAAACTGGACAAAAAAAATACCGATAAAAAAACAAGATCTATAGATCTGTAGTTTTCAAATTGTGATCCCAAATCATGGCAATTCAAATGGCTGTGGGTGGCGTGGACGTTGTGAGTCATTAGATGCCTAATTTTGAGCACAAGCTGAAATGCAAATTGTAGTTTTGCAAACCAATTTTTCTCCATATGACCCCTGTTGACTTCTAATTCATCCTTAAAGGCCGATTGGCCCATTCAACTCCAAAATAGGTTTCAAACTCACATTGATTCGCAGTCGAGCGCTACAACTCCAAGGCGAGACTGGGCAGAAACGATTCGGTTAACGTTTGATGCATTTTCAACTGTATAAACAAAATATGCTAAATAACACGTTCAAGAGTTTGTAATTGAAGGAAATTAACTTTTTACGACAAAGGTTTGCTTATACGGATCTACGGGCGTCCAAATGTCACCAAGTATTGTGCCTTATGAAAGAAACATATGTAAGAAAATCCATCAGAACATTTTTATATCCAGTAGTTTGTACATATTTGGATTCCAACAGTACACTTTTATAAAACGCTGTCTTGTGAATGTCAGCTGAAATGTTTGACATTTTAGGCTAAACGTGCCACGAACGTATACCTCGAACTCCTGTAGTATGTATGTATGCGTAACAATCGTGCAAAAACGATTGTGAACAAAAATGATGAATGTACTCGTATGTATATAAAGTACTTGAAACATGAACTGCATTCAACTCGCTTGGAAGTTTCATTTTTGAACTGGTGAATTGTTGATAAAAATCCACATTACACACAGGAGAAAAAACCACAACGTAGCAGTTACATTCTTTATTATCGATCATCCAAGTGAATTTCCAACCCAAAACACATTAGATATAGCTCTTTACATAAGACTCTCAATTCCAACTATAAGCAATATTTAGAAATCACAGCTTAGTGTTATAGCCTTTTTCTTAAACCAGGTAACAAATCTGCTCACTATATACCTACAGCTCTAAATGATACACACCTGCCTCCACGAGTCAGCACTCGCCCCGTACATTAGCAGATACCCCAGTTATACAATGCAATCGATAAGGCTTGCGTACGGTCTTTGCAGTTAATGCAGTTTACTCTTGCACAAAAAGAAACGTTTAGTGACATTAGTGTAGGTTGAATCTATATAAATAAACCACCAAGGGTGAGCGTGCGAGTTAGTAGCTTTAATGCAACATTTCATTTATATATAAAAAGTGGGGGGGGGGGGGGAACTAAATAAAAAAACGGTTGCTTCCTCTTGCCTTTTATTCCCCACTTTCTTCCAACATGCAATCCCACTTTCCACAAAGCTGGCTAACAATTCCCAAATAGTCCAACAGCATGGTTGCTGAAAACCCTTTTATGTAAAATGAGCACAGTTACAGTACCAAAATAGCATCTGTGCAAAACTGCAAACACGGACATAAACTACAGCTTTGAACAGTTTAGCGTTGGCTGCTGTTGGCGCAACTCTGCACAGAGAAGTGCCCCCCTTTAAACATCACCCATTGGCTTGACAGAAAAAAAGAGCAAAATGTGCGTTTTGTAAAAGCGTTGAGCGATTAAGAAGCATGACCGGCCTTTGCAGAAGCAGACGCGAGTCATGAACATGGACACCCACAGCACTAGGCCACTCGTGGTTGTTGGAGCGGTGTGTGCCTCTCTCTTCGGGAGGCGTGTGCATTAACTGGCCACAATAATAAATGCCACACCGCTCATGGATTACAATCACCAGTTAGTCACTTTATGGTGTTTGGTTCTCAGCATCTTTGGCCGCGCTTGGCTGGAGATAGGGATGAGGCCAGAGCTTCGGCAGACCACTGAAAAGACAGGATGCCGATATGACAGGCAATGCAGAGGAGTTGCAGGCCAACTATGGGGCCCTGAGGATCACATGGTCGTAATCTTTGCTAAATACATCAAGCTTGCTCGAAACAGCAGCAAAAAAGGCAATTTTGTGCTCCTGCTAATGCTTTTAAAAACATTAACCGCCTGCTGGCCGTAGCAGCAACATTTTGGGGTACAAGCACTGCCTTTCCACGTCACACACCATGGAAATTCGTGACGCTGCCAATTTCACACAGACACGGGACGGGGGAGCAAAGCGTGTGCTGCGGCGTGACTCGCCGGCCTGCTGGAGAGCACAACCACTCTGGTGACGCGTTCAAACACTGGAGGCAGCGCTACGGGTTGTGGAAAGTCGGTCGGTCCAACAGAGGGACGCAAACTAGCTTCATAAAAACATATTATTGCATTGAGCTTCGGAGACGAACACGTGTTTAATGAGGAAGAATTGTTGACAGTGTTAAGGTTCTGGGATCTACAAGCCACACACTGGCAGCAAGTAGTTGTGCGCCCATTTTTAGCTGTCGGTGGCAAGCTGAGCTTCAATGTCCACGCGGCAGATGGGACACTTCTTGTTAGTGGTGAGCCACTGGTCCACGCACACCTGATGAAACAGGTGCATGCAAGGGAGACGTCTGCCAGAAAGAGCACGGGAAAACAGCGTTAAATTGCAAGTAAAAAAACCTGTAAAAATGCCTCGTCTCTCCTTACCACAGGTACACACGTTTCTATCGAAAGTCTGCATTAACAGCTATCAGCTGGATAAATACAAAAACAACGGCTAGTCATCGAACAAAGACGGTCACTGCATTTATATTCTTGGTTCTTTCCGTAAAGTCACGTAGAAGGGATATAATAAAATAATAAAAATAAAACAATAAAATTCTCACGACGTTTTGATTGCAACACAAGAATTCATCATCAGGTGTGAAAACCACAGCAAGAAAATTTTTGAACAAAGGTTACTGCATTGCGCGCCTTCAAATTCACTTCTTCGGCTGTCTGGAACACTCTTCCTTTCCATATTAGGAAGCCACTGGAGCTATGCACTTTCAAAATAGTCCAGGTTGAAAACTAATTTCTTTACAACTGTTTTTTGTGTTTAGTTTGTCGTCTTCCCCTGCACTTCCGATTAGCACAGTTGGCTATGTACGGTGCGAAAGTAGTTCAACATACATAAATACTATCCAACCAACATTTTGTCTGAAGACAGAACCAAAGGGAAAACTGTTGTATATGGCAAAACACATTAATTATTGTACCCATTAGACTTTTGATGGGAAATACAATTGAGCACAGCAAATATAGAAATGAGAATGACTGTCAAAACAACTAATATTTTTTTTACGTGATATGAAGGGCCAATAGCTGAAACATTGGCGATTATCTATTTTTCATTGTAAGGCAGAGTGTTATTGACGAACTGTTAAGCTTTTTTATGTGTGCTTGTGCACCACTGTCAACGCAGTATCGCCAAAAAGTGTATCTAAAAAACACAGCGATATTATGAATGCTTCCTTTTGTAGATTATAAAATAAGCAAATGTTATCACCGGGTTTCCTCCCTCTTTAGGAATATCAGAGTGAAAGGCATCTCCTTACCTGACATCTTCCTCTTCTTCCAAAACAGACAAGCAGATGGTGCACTTCTCCTCATTCTCATCATCAGCTCCACCCTCATCATCACCCTCCTTCTCCAAACTCTTCCTCTGCAGCAGAGCCACAGGCACAACAAAGTTAAAACTGAACCAGCTCCATTGCATGCCTTTCTAATACAACCACGACTGTGCTTTTTTTTTTTAAGGCCGCAAAATAAAATTACCCCTGGGAGTTTAGCCTTCCAGTTTAGACAGTGCAAATCTACGCAGTTACTCGAATGCGAATCAGGATGCAGTGCACAGACCAAGTTGTTAAGTTTAAAATAATTAAGTTACATGTAAAAAAAACACATGAGTGGTATGGAAGCTTTGTTGGGTGTTAAAGGGCTACGGTCATGTTTTTTCCTATTTAGTAGACTGCTATATTAGACACATTCTAACATCCAAAAATGGCATAATACGCTATACTGTGCACACTCCTCTCAAACAAACATTTTTTTGACAGGTTTCACTTGGTCAACTTTTTATATTGGTCAACTAGTTGTTGAGCATCCATGTAACCTCGCAACAGAGGACCACAGCAAGAACATTTCGTCAAGACCATCGTTTAAACCTTTGACGGACATAGTGTTGTTCACGGTCACCTTTTTGTATTTGTGAGGATAGGTGTGCCTCTCGATGGTGCTCTGGGAAGCTCCGCGATTCACGTTTCCCAGCCTCTCCTCCAGCTGCAGCAGGTCCTGTATTTGGGTACACAATTGAAGCACTGAGCACCGGTAACACGGCAGGGCCAAGAGCGCTTGCATCCCACCATATGTCTGGCCGTGAGGATAACTGTGGCGCGTGTAGAAAGGTGCATACCTCTGCTCTGAAGAACAATCCCTGTATGTTGCGGGGGATGAGCGGGACGTGAGAAGCATAGCCCGACATGTCGGGCATTGCCTGCGCAAAGGGAAACGGATTGAACACTTTTAATTCTGACACCTGCACCGAAGAGCCCTTGCTAAGTGTCAAAACACACTTCTTTTTAAAACAGATTGTGGCAACAACCCATCACTTACAAGTTTTGGTGCATCACATGCATCGACGCAACAATGTTTTACCACTCTAATCGCCTCCGCTCCGATCGCACACATCATTCGCATGCCACACAGGTTCACTCCGATCATAAATGTGTACATTTAAACTTCTACCACCGAGCGCATTTATTTCGTTTGCAAACACATGTATGCCTCATGTGCACATAAGCAGGCGCACACACACGTGT